TTTTTTACTGTTTGGGATGGGATGGCATGGCATGGCATGGCATGGGATGGCATGGGTTGGGATGGCATGGGATGGGATGGGATGCGGTGCGATGGAATGGGATGGGATGGCATGGCATGGGATGGCATGGGTTGGGATGGCATGGGATGGGATGGGATGCGGTGCGATGGAATGGGATGGGATGGGATGGCATGGGATGGCATGGCATGGCATGGAATGGCACTGAATCTGATGAGATGGGATGGGATGGGATGGGATATGGGATGGGATGCGGTGCGATGGGGTTGGATGGCATGGCATGGAATGGGATGGATGGATGGATGCATGCATGGATGGATGCATGGATAGATAGATAGTTAGATTTTTGGGGATATTTTCCTTTCAACCAAGCGGTCACCAGCTGAGTAACGCCACTGATTTCCCCGGGCAACGCCGAGTATCCCGCCAGTATACAATATGTATGTGCGCCGCACCAGGGGAGCCACGCAATGCGATTAGAATTTCTCGATCTAGCGTTATGTTATTAGTCATAACGTGTATTACTAATGCATGAGACATGCAGGCACACATCGACACACCTGCCCGCGTCGCCGCGCGAGAATGGCATGAGATATACGCGCCTGGCAAATATTCATTTCGTTTGCTTGCGGGTTGTACAGAACGCGTGAGTGCTCACAGGAAAAAAACACCAATGGGTTTGTGTGCAGCTTCCAACTGTCCTAATAGGGTATGGCCGTGTGTGTATATATATATATAGATATATATATATGTTTATATATATATATATTTGCTGAAATGCGCTGAGCAACATGGGTGTAATTAGAGTTAATTAGAACATCTCGTCAACGGAGGCAGCTGGAGAGGCACGATTGTAGAAGCGTAGCGACAGACATACATAGCGAAAATAATGAGGGCTTCATCGCGAACTTGAACGATACTTTACGGTGCTTTTTTGAATTAATCAAACTTGAACGATACTTTACGGTGCTTTTTTCGGTTAATCATAAATTGACGCTGAATATCACAATACGCATCTTATTTTCCCTTCCCGTATTATTCTATTATCAATCTATTGCCTCGCTCTTTCCGGCCTCCTTTGTCAAATATTTTCTCTTTTTATATCCTTCTCTCCCTCTCCCTCTTACGCTGTCTCCCTCATACCCCTCTTTCCACTCCCTTCTTAACACGCGCGTGAACTATAGATTACATTCTTCACATCTCTCCTTCCCCTGTATATGTTTGAAGCTGGTTGAATGTCATGAAATATTTAAACTGCGTACATATTGACAAATACCTTTGTTGACAACCGTTGCTACTGTTGGTAACATGCATAGGAGTCGAAGTGTTAGCAGCTGTCAAAATATTAGCAGGAGTGGCCAACATTTCCCGCCGGGGTTGCCTTCAATCATCTGTCGCTTAGTTTCTATAAAAATGTGTTAATTTCCCGATGATGATTTGCGACTTGGCCTAAGGCCGCGAGCATGTGTGAGCAACATGCTAATAGGAATCTTCTTCTTCTATCTGAGAACATTCTTCATTATTGGGTGTTTATCGATCTTGACGTCTCTAAAGTTTTCTGTAATTCAGCTATTACGACACACGATTTTGAGGAAGTATTCAAAAGTTCTTGCGTGTCTTTGTTCCTTATTGTCAGTAACAATGTGGCCTTTTCGATTTTGTTTTTATTCTGTTCTGCTTCTTACTGTCGTCAATTTCTACTCGTGTTAACATGAAATTACGATAATACAAGAGAAATCGCATGTAAAAATTAACAATTAATTAAAAAATTTAGATTAAACCAGTTGCATACGTATTATGTTGACTATTACAGATTGTTGGTTGTACATTACTGACGGATTTTTTGGTGACCAAGCAGATATAGGTTTGAAGTGTGATTTTTCAATCGATGATTGGATACTTCAGTGAATTTGTGAAGCTTTGCCAATATTCTAGGATTATTCACTTAGGCACCTTACTCGCTGCTTGGCAGATTCGCGTTTTATTGCTAAAGCGTTTGTGAATTTATTCTATTTATATTTATAAACCCACACATCCCACCCCGATCTAGCATCTATGTTCTGCGGGATTGATTTTGCCTGGCTTCGCAGCTTCTGAACTTCGCGGCGTCGCGGAAGTCGTGGTTCAGAAGGCGGGTGCTCACTATAGGCGAAATGACGAGTTCTATTAGCCGCCCGCTGAGGTGCCGCGGAGACGGCATGCGTGCCTCGGCTTAGAGAGAGACACAGCGAGAGAGAGAGAGAGAGAGAAAGAGAGAGAGAGAGAGAGAGAGAGAGAGAGAGAGAGAGAGAGAGAGAGAGAGAGAGAGCGAGAGACAGAGAGAGA